ATGGTTGGCCACCCTACACCACCGACCACCTCCGGGCCACCATTCCCTAACACCCGGGCCACAGTTCCTCCCCTCACATGTGGTAAGTCACATCCCGGGGGTCACACTCCAGGGAGCTAATCTTCTTCTTCCTCTATTAGTTGAAACTCTTCACCAACACCGCTTCTCAAACTAAATTTCACTGGAGTTCCTGGGTTGGCCATGAGTCATGTGTGTGCGCCCGGCATGAGCTGTACCGCGTCTTAAGGGTCAATGTTTTCCTCACGTGGACAGGCCAGGGGTTTCGCTTTTACTATGGGTAAACGCAGGGAGAATTAATGACTGGATAACCACATTCACGGTGAGTGTCTGGCCAGAGAACAATAAGAGGTCGATGGATTAAATGAGGTTATCTGTAAACACCCGACTCGTATTTCTTTCGATAAAAAAATACGAACTCTTTGAGTTCTCCCGAAACATGTTCATAGCTCACAGCTTTATGTAGACAAGGTATTCATACGGGACGCTTTAATGAATGCTTTGTGAGGCTAGGTATCGTGTTCCGCCCTTCAGAGAGACTACCAGCTGTACCTCATAGCAGCGCCTCACCCAAGTGTGGAGACTCAGCTAATACCCCTGGAGTCAGGTCTTCCTGCAATAATTACTGCCTGAATAATTAGCTCAGGGAAATGAAGGCACCATGATGCAATGGTTAGCTCTCTTCTATCATGCTATAGTAAAGGCTCTCTATGATAACTCGGACAATCTGGTCACTCAGTAACTCATGCATAGAGTGAAGAAAGTGATTGAAAGATAAAGATGAATATGAAAAACAAAATCACATCATAACATCATAAGACAAATGTGAGCAGACACAGGAGCGGATGACTAGATTGTTGACTTATCAGAAATGTTACTATAGTTAAATTTCATACAGACATTCGAAGTGCTATTCAGAATCACAAGACTAATCAGTGCTGATATACACAAGTGTCATGATCGTAATGACGGCTAGCCTGTTAAAACCTAATGATCCATATTACGCTTACACGTCCACAAAACCTTCTGAGTCCCCCAGTGGAAACGTCCTCCGTTTTCTGTGTTTCGTTGATGACGTCATCGAGTGTCGTCATTGTGTTGACCGAGTTTGTAAACTCTTTCTTTTACCGAGATCCTGTAAACCCTTTTTCATCTATGACTATCAGAGACCCTGACAATCATAGTAAAATTGTTGTAGGGATGTTAACTATGGAATTAGTTAATTTTCCTGAAGGGAACTTTAGACCAGCGTCTTCGTGTTTCACCTAATTAATAGTTTGATTGTGCAAGTGTTACAGTAACGTAGTTGATGTGCTTTGAGTGAAGTATTTTTACGTCCTTAACGTCCCTTTGAAACAATGATGTTCATTATCAACTCGTTAAGCGCCTCGACCCCTCCACAGGTCCCTATCGCAGCCTAGGCCGCGTCTGTAGTACAGGTGTGTGTGTGAGGTAGTACTGATGTGTGTGTGTGTGAGGTACATAAGAACATAAGAATGGAGGAAACTGCAGCGGGCCTATTGGCCCATACTGGGCAGTCCCGTTTACACCCAACCCCTATTGCTCATATGAGCATACAACCTATGTTTGAAGCAATTCAGCGTATTCGAGTTAATGATGATTTTGGTAACTTGTTCCATTCATTCACTACTCTGTTTCCAAACCAGTGTTTACCTATTTCACGCCTAAATCTAAATTTGTCTAATTTAAAACCATTGTTACGTGTTCGCTCCTGGTTGGATAGTTTGAGTACCTTTGTAATGTCCTTTGTTTAGCCCTGCCTTCCCTTATACACCTCTATCAGGTCGCCCCTCGCTCTACGTCTCTCAAAGGGAGTGCAAATTAAGATGCTTTAACCTGTCTCTATACTCAAGGTTCCATGCCCGGGATTAGTCTTGTCATTCTCCTCTGAATTCTTTCAAGGATTCTATATCCATTCTGTAATACGGTGACCAAGTGAACTGCGTAATCCAGGTGTGGTCTCCAAGAGCAAGATACAGTTTTAGGATGACCTCGCTAGTCTTGTAACTAACACTCCTTGTATGAACCCAAGTACTTTATTAGCCTTGTTACGAGCAGCACATTGTTTACTTGGCTTAAGGTTCCTACTTATCATTACTCCTAAATCTCTCTCGCAGTCGGATTTCTCTATGGCATCGCTGTTCATCTGGTATCTGGTTTCCTGTTTACATCTCCTATACTGAGTACTTTACATTTGTCGACGTTGAATTTCATCTGCTTTCAGACCATTCGAAAAGTTTGTTTGAATCTTCCTGTAGTTTTGCCGAGTCCTCGTCAGATTTGATAACACGTCCTTTTTAGTGTCATCAGCAAATTTACTTATGTTGCTGTCAATGCCGATATCTATGTCGTTTATATATAATAAATAATAATGGTCCAAGTACTGAGCCTTGGGAACTCCACTTGTGACGTTGCTCCAATGGGACTTAGTGCCGTTAATGCTCACTCGCTGTTTCCTGTCCTGTAACACGCTAATCCATTTAAGGATGTCACCTTTGATGCCATGAGCTTCTACTCTAATTAGTCTTTCGTGGGGACTCTGTCAGGCTTTGCTAAAGTGAGATATACCACATCATAATTGTGCCCTCGTCCACCTATTCGAAAACTGATGAAAAGAATGTTAATAGATTAGTTAGGCAAGAACGTCCGCTTGTGCTGCCATGCTGGGAATCATTGATCAATCGGTGCTTCTCCAGGTGATTTCGAATAGAGTTTGAAATGATTGCTTCCAGTAATTTGCCTATAAGTGTTGAAAGTCTAGAGAGAAGCCAGGGTAGGTGTTGACTCTAAGATATGGGTAGCTATACTGAAATGCCCACCCTATAGCCTGGCCCCTTGGCTGGTCAGCTATGACTGAGTCAGGTGATTATAATTATACATAAACAAACTCCCTTCACACCCTCCAACCTCCTTCTGGGCCTCTCATTAGGCTAGGATACAGACACATCTGGCAAGTTAGTAACGCTGTACCCATACCGGAACACTCAGCATGTAAACTTTGTGATAAACCTTTAAAGCATACACTTGAACACTATATTATTGAATGTGACACTGTCAAAGACTTCAGGCCACCTGACTTACTGTATCTTGAACTATGTAATTACTTCATTGAATCGGGTTGCAGGACATTCTTGCTGTTTATCCCAAATTTGCTGCTAGCCCACACTGATTAGTCTTCAATTAGAATATGACTCCAATGTATGTGATCCACTGACCTATATATGCTGCTGGTGAGATGTGATGTATTTCCTTCTTTGTGTCAACGAACTCTCTCCTGCGTGGCAGTGAACAGTGGCATTACCCACATGAATCTGACCTATATATAGTGTCAATGAATATGATGCATTCTTTTGTGTACGAACCTCTGTCCTGTATGGCAGTGAAGAGTATTACCCACATGAATCTGACCGACGTATATGTATGTGTGTGTGTGTATGTGTATGTATATGTACATGTACATGTATATTATGTATATATGTATATGTATGTATATATGTGTGTGTGTTTACATTTATATATATATATTGTCATGAATATGATGCATCTCTCTGTGTATGAACCTCTGTCCTGCATGGCAGTGAACAGTGACATTACCCATATGAATCTGACCTCTACATTTACAGCTGTTAATGAATATGATGTATTTCTTTTGTGTGAACCTCTGTCCTGCGTGGCAGTGAGAAGTGATACCACCCTCAGTGTCAAGACCGGACTGAATACCCAGAATAGGCAAACTGTACTACAAGCTCTGCCAATAAATTTGTTAAACTAAAAAAAACTCATCTTCAACCATCTCAACAGTCTACATTGTGAGTTACAGCCTAACATAACATTTGTTTATATGTCATAATTATGTACAGCCTGCGGTAACATATATATATATATATATATATATATATATATATATATATATATGCAAGTAAATCACTGTAGGTGCGCGTGATCTAGGTATATGCTGATAACCACAAGGAAAAAAACACGAAGTTCCCAAGCGCTTTCATGTAATTCACATCTTCAGGGGTGAGTACAGACTAGTCTGTACTCACCCTGAAAACTTTTTTTTCACTATATATATATATATATATATATATATATATATATATATATATATATATATATATATATATATATATATATATATATATATATACATATACAGAAAACGCCATTGTGAGTTCTCTTTTTCCCTTCCCTTACGTATGTACAGGTATGTGAGCCATCACCACGGCCTCATCTGCAAATTTGGTAGAAGCTTCGACACCATCCCCGACACCGGCTCCTACTACCACCTGAGATCCCTTGTCCGAAATTGCTGTTCGACACCACAACCGCATCCAGCCCATACGTGCACGAACTTCAGTCTATAAGAACAGCCCAGTCCCAACCATTGAAATTATCAATAACTTGTAATAAATCAGTGTATTCACTCCCAGTAAACACTGCTCCTTGCACTGTCACTATGTTGAAATGAACTGTAGTTTGAGCTGATCCCCATCTCAGTTATTATATGTCTTATTTGTGTCACTTGTATATTATTTGTAATTCGTAACCCATTCCCCAAATATGTAACTGTATATTTTCAGCCTTCTGGCTGCCAAGCTCTTTCAATAAACCGTTAATTATTATTATTATTATTATTATTACAAAGAGAATATAGACTTATGGTCCGAGGAACTTCTAGTCTGAGAACTTCTGGTCAGAGAACTTCTGGTCCGGAGAACTTCTGGTCCGCTACACCGGGACAAGTTTATCATCTTGTTCCGCCATAAATTGTCTGGTCGTCTCTCGGTGAAATAATTCCTCTTGTTTAATATAAGGAAGTTCCTCAATTATTATATTTATATCAAACAAATTAATAATCTATATATTTTATTGATGTTGTAAAATAATATTAAAATAAGTATTAGTTTATTTGTTAAATTATTTAGCAGAGTGAGAGGTGAGAACCATCGAAGTGGGTGAGGTAGATGGCGCTGAGGCTGATGTAAGTAAACAAGTGGTTCAAACAGGTCGTGTTACTGATGCTGGTGTGGTCACGGCTCCTTCACGGTGTTGGCTGCCTCACAACTGGTAACTCTCAGTGTCTTCTCTTAACCATCATAGATCATTTATCAATGGGCCACGACCCCCACACGTTTGGGCCACGACCCCCACACGTTTGGGCCACGACCCCCACACGTTTGGGCCACGACCCCCCAAACGTTTGGGCCACGACCCCCCACACGTTTGGGCCACGACCCCCACACGTTTGGGCCACGATCCCCACGTTTGGGCCACGACCCCCAAACGTTTGGGCCACGACCCCCACACGTTTGGGCCACACCCCACGTTTGGGCCACGACCCCCACACGTTTGCCACGACCCCCACTTTTGGGCCCTGACCCCCAAACGTTTGGGCCGACCCCACACGTTTGGCCACGACCCACACGTTTGGGCCACGACCCCCACGTTTGGGCGACCCCCAAACGTTTGACGACCCCCCACACGTTTGGGCCCTTCACACGTTTGGGCCGACCCCACGTTTGGGCCACGACCCCACTTTTGGGCCACGACCCCCAAACGTTTGGGCCGACCACGTTTGGCGACCCCCACACGTTTGACTACACCACGTTTGGGCCCTTCCACGTTTGGGCCACCGACCCCCACACGTTTGGGCCACGACCACACGTTTGGGCCACGACCCCCACGTTTGGGCCACCCGACTCCCCACGTTTGGCGACCCCACCACGTTTGGGCCGACCACTCTTCTTGACCCCCACGTTTGGGCCTGACCCCCTACGTTTGGGCACGACCCCCACGTTTGGACCGGCCCCCCACACGTTTGGGCCGACCCCGTTTGGGCCGGCCCCCACGTTTGGTCAAAGGGTCAAAGTAATATAAAAGGTAAAATTTTAGTTTGGGTCATTCTGGTACCTAACCTAACCCAGGAACTAACTATATCTCAACCTGCCGGGGGCACGTTCTTCGGTAAATTTGCAGTGGTTCACACAACTCTGTTAGAAAGTCAAAACTATGTTGTTCTAGTGTAGTTGTGTGTTTTGATTGGTTCTGACCTTGATTTACGTCGGAAATTGGCTGGTTTTTTTAGTTATCGTGTGTTTTGAGTGGGGCGTTTTTCGACAAAAATCATAGCCAAATAAATACACAATACACTAAAAAACACCAGAAAAACATATAAACCGAACCTTTGTTTGGATGACCTAACTCATACTGGATATTTGCGTGACCGGAAAAGTTCCTACTGACGTTATTTTACGGTGCCTGGTGTCACTCCCCCGTGCCTAGGAGGTTGGGATGGTGAGTTTTTTGGTTGGTTAGGTTAGGTAGGTTTCTTTGTTGGTTGGTGAGGTTTCTTTGGTTGGTTGGGTAGGTTTTTGGTTGGTTAGGTTAGGTAGCTTTCTTTGGTTGGTTAGGTTATGGTAGGTTTCTTTGGTTGGTTAGGTTAGGTTATGGTAGGTTTCTTTGGTTGGTTAGGTTATGGTAGGTTTCTTTTGGTTGGTTAGGTTATGTAGGTTTCTTTGGTTGGTTAGGTTATGGTAGGTTTCTTTGGTTGGTTAGGTTATGTGGGGTTTTCTTTGGTTGGTTAGGTTATGGTAGGTTTCTTTGGTTGGTTAGGTTATGGTAGGTTTCTTTGGTTGGTTAGGTTATTAGGTTTCTTTGGTTGGTTGAGTTGTAGGTTTCTTTGGTTGGTTAGGTTATGGTAGGTTTCTGGTTGGTTGGGTTATGGTAGGTTTCTTTGGTTGGTTGAGTTATGAAGGTTTCTTTGGTTGAGTTAGGTTATGGTGGGTTTCTTTGGTTGGTTAGGTTATGGTAGGTTTCTTTGGTTGGTTGAGTTATGTAGGTTTCTTTGGTTGGTTAGGTTATGGTAGGTTTCTTTGGTTGGTTAGGTTATGTAGGTTTCTTTGGTTGGTTGGGTTATGGTAGGTTTCTTTGGTTGGTTAGGTTATGTGAGTTTCTTTGGTTGGTTAGGTTGGTAGGTTTCTTTGGTTGGTTAGGTTATGGTAGGTTTCTTTGGTTGGTTAGGTTGTAGGTTTCTTTGGTTGGTTAGGTTATATGGGTTTCTTTGGTTGGTTGTTAGGTTATGTAGGTTTCTTTGGTTGGTTGGGTTATGTAGATTTCTTTGGTTGGTTAGGTTATGGTAGGTTTCTTTGGTTGGTTAGGTTATGGTAGGTTTCTTTGGTTGGTTAGGTTAGGTAGGTTCTTTGGTTGGTTAGGTTATGGTAGGTTTCTTTGGTTGGTTAGGTTAGGTTTCTTTCTTTGGTTGGTTAGGTAGGTTTCTTTGGTTGGTTAGGTTAGGTAGGTTTCTTTGGTTGGTTAGGTTATGTAGGTTTCTTTGGTTGGTTAGGTTAGGTTAGGTAGGTTTCTTTGGTTGGTTAGGTTAGGTTTCTTTCTTTGGTTGGTTAGGTTAGGTTTTTTGGTTGGTTAGGTTAGGTAGGTTTCTTTGGTTGGTTAGGTAGGATTCTTTTGTTGGTTAGGTTAGGTAGGTTTCTTTGGTTGGTTAGGTTAAGTTCTAGTAAATGTCGCCTCTTTTATAATGATAAGTTTCCATGCATAACAGAAATATGGTTAGGTACACAACGATCGACTCACGGCAAAATATATACCAAAAGCCGTCAGAGTCGCGGTCAAACACAGTTCTCGCGTTGTTCGCCGGTAATGGACAATTAGCCAATCAACGCTCAGCAACAGTAAAATGGCTTTACTAGGAACTTAGCCGGTCCCGGCAAAATATCCACTGCCATGTCTGTTTGCGGTAGCTAATGTGTGAGAACAGGGCGGGTTAGGGTCATCGTGTATCATCCAAGACAACTCATACCAAAGATAACTTGCACCCAGCTCAGGGGATAACTTGCACCCAGCTCAGGGGATAACTTGTACCCAAGTCACACTTTGATTTTTTGAGATGGAAGCACTTCTGCAGAGTCTTATGTGTTGAGGGCTGCAGGCTAGAATGGTTGGTGACAACACTTCTCCACAGTCTTATGTGTTGAGGGCTGCAGGCTAGAATGGTTGGTGACAACACTTCTCCACAGTCTTATGTGTTGAGGGCTGCAGGCTAGAATGGTTGGTGACAACACTTCTGCAGAGTCTTATGTGTTGAGGGCTGCAGGCTAGAATGGTTGGTGACAACACTTCTCCACAGTCTTATGTGTTGTTGAGACTGGGCTAGAATGGTTGGTGACAACACTTCTCCACAGTCTTATGTGTTGAGGCTGCAGGCTAGAATGGTTGGTGACAACGCCTCCCACACAGTCTTATGTGTTGAGGGCTGCAAGGCTAGAATGGTTGGTGACAACACTTCTCCACAGTCATATGTGTTGAGGCTGCAGGCTAGAATGGTTTGTGAGTGACAACGCCACTCCTGATCTTATGTGTTGAGGGGGCTGCAGGCTAGAATGATTTGGTGACAACACTTCTCCTGATCTTATGTGTTGTTGTTGAGGGCTGCAGGCTAGAATGGTTGGTGACAACACTTCTGCAGAGTCTTATGTGTTGAGGGCTGCAGGCTAGAATGGTTGGTGACAACACTTCTCCACAGTCTTATGTGTTGAGGGCTGCAGGCTAGAATGGTTGGTGACAACACTTCTCCACAGTCTTATGTGTTGAGGGCTGCAGGCTAGAATGGTTGGTGACAACACTTCTCCACAGTCTTATGTGTTGAGGGCTGCAGGCTAGAATGGTTGGTGACAACACTTCTCCACAGTCTTATGTGTTGAGGGCTGCAGGCTAGAATGGTTGGTGACAACACTTCTCCACAGTCTTATGTGTTGAGGGCTGCAGGCTAGAATGGTTGTATATACAAATAGGCACAATAAGTTGAGAGTAGTGATAGATTGCTGCCAAATGGATAATGATGACACCAGAAATGAGGCTCACATATGTATCCCCGATTAACAACCGTAACTAAGAACTGGACGTATTATTGTGTTGTAAATTGTCTGCTTTTTTTGTTCTTGATACTGATCTTTGTTTAGTCTGCCCAGAAGACTGTAGTAGCATCTGTTACCTGCTCCAACCCTGGCTATAATTTACATTGGTTTTACATAATATCTTCTTCAGTCTTGTATTCTTATGTCATAAGTGATCCAAGGTATTTAAAGGACTAAATTTTATCAACATTCATTCCACTGACACGAACACGTGGGTTTTGCCTTTGGTTTCTCTCCATGATCATTGTTTTGGTCTTATCCACATTTACCTCAAGTCCTGTTGTTGAATATGTTATGTCCTTACAGGTTGTTGCCATAGGACTGTATCTACTTCTTGGATGTTGCTGTTTACAGTATCCAGGTCCGCGTAAAACGAGAAACGTGTAAACGAAATAACAGAACATATGGGATTAATTGAAATAGAGACTGGGCCGACCCCCAAACTCCACTTTTTCCGACACAATACGTACGTTGTAGTAAAAATAGTTTCTTAATTTTATGATGGTATGCACACACACATAATATAGAAGAGAAATATCAATAAAAGAATAATATACTGTACCAGGTAAAAGAAAAATCAAGGTTCAACACTTACCTTAGTGGAAGAGATGGGTCGGCATACGCGAATGGCGGCTGGTTCCGAGGCAGAGGGCAGATTAGTGGCCCTCCGGTGAATCACTATCACTATTCACAAAGGTTTGCAGGGCTTCCCTGACAAACCTCTCAAAGTCCATATCGTCACTGTCACTGACTTGGGCTGGCTGTGGTTGGTTGCGGGCGAGACTAGCATTGATGTTGTTGTGATACAGCTGGACATACGGCTCCATAATGTTCAACAGAAGGTTATTAGACACTTCATGCCGATGCTTGACTGTGTCTTTGTCAAGGATGAGATTGATTTTCTCCCCCAACTCGATGACTTCCTTCACATAACCATGGCTTGGTCCAGGTTCAAGGTTTTTTTGGGGTGGTGGGGTTCCAGCGGAAGCCATTGTGAGGGGAATAGTGGGCACAAGAGAGAACTGTATACGCGGAGAACTGAGAACAATGAGAG